TAAAATTGAAAGCAAAGTCAAAGAAGTAACTTTAATTTCTCAATTTTTGCTTCGATTTTTTTTTCAAGGTGCTTAATGAATTAGCTTTAACGACCTTTTCCGTGCGGCCAGTTCCACTTAATTGCCCGTTTTATGCCGAAGAAAGTTTTTTAAGACGTCTCTATGATTCATCTTTGTCTCCAGCTTCAACCCATTACCTTCTGTTCCTGCTGTTTCGCATTCGAAACATTGCCTCTTTGTCCACCCAATCAATTTCCCATATTACGTTGTATGTTGTTATCATATCCCTTCCCCCCCCCCCCCCCAGTTTTCGCCTTTCCTGAAATATATGAAATATAGCGAGTTTGAGCACCCAAAACCTTCCACGGCAGTAAGTCCTCTCACTCTGGGACACGTCTTGTCGCGTATCTGAATACTCAACACAAAACTTAATGACAATTACCCTGGGAATAGTATAGATAGGGTCTGGCCTAGGGCTTAAGACCACTACAGTGGTTTATTGATTAACCAGTAAGTTGACTTTAGATCTTTCAACCTCGATAGTTTACTGACCTAACAGCAAGAATAAGTTTTGCCTGCACGTAGTCTAAGTTTAAAAGATACCCTGAATATTCAATATATATATGTGTGTATATTGTGTATATTAAGCTGACTTAATATATTTATTCCAAAATTATACACGCTCCCGAGATTACTTCACTGTGAAAACTTTTTCAATTTTGCTTATTGAATCAGAACACGCAATAATTTGGTTTTAAAATGACATGGAAACTGTTTAGTCAACGCGGCGAAATACTTTTTAATTAACTTGTTAACACACTGAACAGGTTACCAATCAGGAGATATTCTGTATATTCTGTGCAATTCCGTTTATACACGAGGGAAACAAGAGTACTGCCGTTTATGTAACAGATAAACCAGAGTAATTCCGTTCACGCAACAGGTAAACAAGAGCAAAACCGTTCATGCAAGAGGGAAACAAGAGTAATACCGTTCATGCAACAGATAAACAAGATCAATACCGTTTGTACATGTAAACAAACTATAATACCGTTCATACAAAAGGTAAACAAGAATAACATTCATTCAGGAAAACAAGTGTAATATCATTGTCTCTTCTGTCAATTCTCGTGAGAATTTGAATATGGTGATCATGTCTTTTCTGATTCTTCTGTCATCCATAAAGGTAAGAGTAAGTTATTGTAGTTTCTCGTAGCTCATCTCTGCAACTAAATACAGTGGCCTACCTTCCAGCTTTGTGACTAACCTGGTGCCATACCTCTCAGCTCTGGGAGTAGAGCCTGGTAGTGTGACGTTCAGTTCTAGGACTAGTCGAGCTCTGCCCGAAACGCTATGCGTACTAGTGGCTTTAGGTATTGTATGTGCTAGTTCTATCTATAAATCAATCAGAATGTTTGTAACTGCATCTATGTATGTACTTTTCCTAAATAAATTATTATTATTATTATTATTATTATTATTATTATTATTATTATTATTATTATTATTATTATTATTATTATTATTATTATTATTATTATAGTTATATCTCACTCAGCTCTGGGACTAGTCAAGTGATATTTCTCTCAGCTCTGGGACTAGTCTAGTAGTATCTCTCAGCTCTGGGACTAGCCTAGTAGTATCTCTCAGCTCTGGGACTAGTCTAGTTGTATCTCTCAGCTCTGGGACTAGCCTAGTAGTATCTCTCAGCTCTGGGACTAGTATCTCTCAGCTCTGGGACTAGTCTAGTTGTATCTCTCAGCTCTGGGACTAGCCAAGTAGTATCTCTCAGCTCTGGGACTAGCCTAGTAGTATCTCTCAGCTCTGGGACTAGCCTAGTAGTATCTCTCAGCTCTGGGACTAGTCTAGTTGTATCTCTCAGCTCTGGGACTAGCCTAGTAGTATATCTCAGCTCTGGGACTAGTCATGGTAAGTTCCACTCAGCTCTGGGACTAGTCTAGTTGTATCTGTCAGCTCTGGGACTAGCCTAGTAGTATATCTCAGCTCTGGGACTAGTCATGGTAAGTTCCTCTCAGCTCTGGGACAAGTCTCGTGGCATACCTTTAAACTCTCACCAACCATGTTTTGTTTTGAACGAGAGACAGACTCCATGATGGTGACTGACAAGAGGAGGCGGTGATTCCTTTCAAGATCTGTCTGACATGTGATGACAGAGTCTTATTCAGAGTTCTAAAGGAAGAAGATTATGTTGGCCAGTCTTGAATAAGAAGCTGAGGATACTCGTCTGATACGTGTGTCGGGAGAAAGATTGATTCGATTAAGTTTGTGTCTGGCCTCCTGTTACCAGCCAACAGCTATATAACGTTGCACTTGCGTGAGTTGAACTCCAGTAGCCACTTGTTGGTGCAAGAACGGGGATAAGCTACGGGAATCAAGGAGGACGAGGAAGGAGCTGTGGGAAAGCAGGAAGCTATGAGGAGCTGAAAATTGCTCTGTGAACATTATGGAAATGAGATCCTGTGATAATTGTTTCACAAAATTGATGTTTCTCACTAAAATGCAAATGTGGTTGGGAACGACTCGGTTTTCAGTCCTGATTACGCAATTAATGAAGGATTTTAATCAACCCGTTTATATAAACCAGAGTTAATTTATCGTAAATAAAGATTAAATAAATATTTCGCGTTAATGGAAGGAATGTATTCACCCCAAATACAAGACATGGGGGAGGGGGGGGGGCAGTAAAACTAATTTACTTGCAATTCAAAAGACCGGAAGATTAATGTCTGCGTGTGGATGATTATGGAGCATCACGGTAAAGGACCATTAAACCTGCCGTTACTTGCCAACGTTGACAATTAGCGGGTGAATGGGGAATCGATTTTTATGTGTTGTGTTGTGCAGCTCACACGCAAACAAACGCACGCAAACACACATTGAGAGTCCTCACGAGGACTGGTGCTCACGAGGGTGTAGAGAAACACACACACACACACACACACACACACACACACACACACACACACACACACACACACACACACACACACACACACACACACACACACACACACACACACACACACACACACACACATTTAAATCACTTTGATCACATTTAATAATCACATTTAATCACATTTAATCACATTTAAAAATTAGTAGAGTATTCACATACACACACACACACACACACACACACACACACACACACACACACACACACACACACACACACACACACACACACACACACACACACACACACACACACACACACACACACACACACACACACTATCACAACAGAAGATAGGTGTAGGGGCAGGAGGCCAGATACAAGGTATCATCTGGGAGAGGAAATTCTTCAGGAGTCAGAGAAGGAAAAAGACTTGGGGGTTGATATCACGCCAGACCTGTCTCCTGCAGCACATATCAAGCGGATAACATCAGCGGCATATGCCAGGCTGGCCAACATACGAACGGCATTCAGAAACTTGTGTAAAGAATCATTCAGAACTTTGTATACCACATATGTCAGGCCAATCCTGGAGTATGCAGCCCCAGCATGGAGTCCATATCTAGTCAAGGATAAGACTAAACTGGAAAAGGTTCAAAGGTTTGCCACCAGACTAGTACCCGAGCTGAGAGGTATGAGCTACGAGGAGAGACTACTGGAATTAAACTTCACTTTGCTGGAAGACAGAAGAGTTAGGGGGGACATGATCACCACATTCAAGATTCTGAAGGGAATTGATAGGGTAGATAAAGACAGTCTATTTAACACAAGGGGAACACGCACAAGGTTACACAGGTGTAAACTGAGTGTCCAAATGAGCCACAGAGATATTAGAAAGAATTTTTTTAGTGTCAGAGTGGTTGACAAATGGAATGCATTAGGGGGTGATGTGGTGGAGGCTGACTCCATACACAGTTTCAAGTGTAGATATGATAGAGCCCAATAGGCTCAGGAATCTGTACACCTGTTGATTGACGGTTGAGAGGCGGGACCAAAGAGCCAGAGCTCAACCCCCGCAAACACAACTAGGTGAGTACAACTAGGTGAGAACACTATGGAGTCTCGCGGCTGAGTGAACAGCGCTCTGGGGTCGTAGTTGCAATGGCCAGGAATCGATTTCCGGCGGAGGCGGAAAGAAATGAGCAGAGTTTCTTTCACCTTGATGAACGTGTTCACCTAACAGTAAATTACATGGGAGTTAGACAGCTGCTACAGGCTGCTTCTTGGGGGATGTGTGTGTGTGTGTGTGTGTGTGTGTGTGTGTGTGTGTGTGTGTGTGTGTGTGTGTGTGTGTGTGTGTGTGTGTGTGTGTGTGTGTGTGTGTGTGTGTGTGTGTGTGTGTGTGTGTGTGTGTGTGTGTGTGTTTGCCTGGGTTAGAGATAAATATATGTAGTAGAAATATTAGAGGAAAAATAAATTGGTTAGACAGATGGGGTCCAAGAGCTAATAGCTCGATTCTGCAGACACAAATAGTAAATGCAAATTGTAAATCAAGACACACACCAACACGTAGGAAATATGAGCACACAAGCAATCACAAACATGAAAATACATGCCAGGCAAACACCAGCAAAACCGGACAAACTCTAGCAAACACAAACACACGAGGCAAACGAGAGGGAAATAAAAAAAACGAAAACACCAAAGAAAGGCCTCAGTAACATCTCGACCCAGAGCAAAAGAGAAAATGCAAGGGACCCAAGGCGATAAGACGTTTGTCACAAAGGTTATCTCAGCTTGAAGGCAAAACAAAGAAGATTGTAAATTTCTTATGGGATCACTGCAACGGAGGAAGAGTGACAAGGGGGGGAAATATTGGGCGAGGAAGCGAGGTCGACAGGAACACAAAGTGTCATTGGACTTGGAGCAAAAATATTAAATGAAGTGCCAAGAGAGAGAGAGAGAGAGAGAGAGAGAGAGGGAGGGAGAGAGAGAGAGAGAGAGAGAGAGAGAGAGAGAGAGAGAGAGAGAGAGAGAGAGAGAGAGAGAGAGAGAGAGAGAGAGAGAGAGAGAGAGAGAGAGAGAGAGACCTACGGCAAAAGTCCTCGTCGTCCCAGGTCTCCGGGCAGTCGATGATTCCATCACACTTCCTGGAGGCGTCCAGGCAGGGGCCAGAGAGACACTTGTACATTCCCGCGGGGCACTGTAGAAGCTCTGCAAGGTCACAAGAAAAGAAGTGGTGGTCAGCTGGCAAGGAAATTGTCAGGCTGTCGGACTCTTCTCACAGTGTGTGTGTGTGTGTGTGTGTGTGTGTGTGTGTGTGTGTGTGTGTGTGTGTGTGTGTGTGTGTGTGTGTGTGTGTGTGTGTGTGTGTGTGTGTGTGTGTGTGTGTGTGTGTGTGTGTGTGTGTGTGTGTGTATGTTTACTAGTTGTGTTTTTGCGGGGGTTGAGCTTTGCTCTTTCGGCCCGCCTCTCAACTGTCAATCAACTGTTTACTAACTAACTACTAACTTACTATTTTTTTTTTTTTTTTTCCCCACACCACACACACACACCCCAGGAAGCAGCCCGTGACAGCTGACTAACTCCCAGGTACCTATTTACTGCTAGGTAACAGGGGCACTTAGGGTGAAAGAAACTTTGCCCATTTGTTTCTGCCTCGTGCGGGAATCGAACCCGCGCCACAGAATTACGAGTCCTGCGCGCTATCCACCAGGCTACGAGGCCCCTGTGTGTGTGTGTGTGTGTGTGTGTGTGTGTGTGTGTGTGTGTGTGTGTGTGTGTGTGTGTGTGTGTGTGTGTGTGTGGTGGTGTGTGTGTGTGTGTGTGTGTGTGTGTGTGTGTGTTGTGTGTGTGTGTGTGTGTGTGTGTGTGCGGTGTGTGTGTGTGTGTGTGTGTGTGTGGTGTTTTACCTTTCTTGTGTTATTTAGGTTCGGATGTCGAAGGGATGTGGTAATAGAGATGCAACGATGACCAGCTACCTGGACCATCGGGGATCGAACGCCGACCCTGCAGGAAGCCTCGCTTCTTGCAGGGTCGATCAATGCTTAGTCTATCTGCTTAGAGCGAATGTGGTAGCGTGGTTATTGATGTGGTAAAGTGGAAGGGTAATGAACCGGTTAGAATGACAACTGTAATTGGTAGTTAGTGGTGAATAGTGTGGTAGGGGTGGGAGAAAGGGGTGTTATGGAGGGATTGTTCAATTGTTCAGTTACAGAGAATGTGATAGTAAATCAAAATTATGAAATAATACGTTTTAGGATATTTATAATTGGGTGTATGTGTGCGTATGTGTATGTGTTTAAGTGTTGATAATATGTGTGGGGTGGATAAATGCTGAGGTAGAGAATGGGGAAGAGGTAGAGAGTGATGAATAGGTCAATAGAATAGACCGGGATGAATAGACAGGGGGCCCAGAAGGTGGGAGAGGGTATAAATAAAAAAAACTTAAATGGAAGAGAGTGGGTTCGTGAGCGTGAGTGCCTGACTGCAAGGTTGCTAGGTTAGGTTAGGGTAGGTTAGGTTGGATTGAATAAGTAAAGGTTAGGTTAGGTTGGGGTAGGATAGGTTTCTTTAGTCTAGGATTGGCTAAGTTAGGTTAGATTGGCCTAAAAAAATAGGCGGGGAAAAGGTTAGTTACTGAAAACACTAAAGGAAAAAAAAACACATAAACAACAAAATTATGTAAATCTTTACATATTTACTGAATATCTTATCTCCAATTCCTGAAGAAGACAAACATTTTAAACAACAGATTGTTATGAGTCGCTCTTGCTACGCCAATGAAAGGAGAGTTAAGTATAATGAAAAACCGAAATAATTAATCAGCTTCACCAACAAAGAACAATTAAATATGATTTTCAAGTTCAAGAGAAAATCTGGATAGCCTGGAGCAGAGAGAACGGGAATTACTTAATTTCTATAGCAGGAAAAGAACTCACTATAGTAGGAGAGGAACTCACTATAGCAAGAGAGGAACTCACTATAGCAGGAGAGGAACTCACTATAGCAGGAGAGGAACTCACTATAGCAGGAGAGGAACTCACTATAGCAGGAGAGGAACTCACTATAGCAGGAAAAGAACTCACTATAGCAAGAGAGGAACTCACTATAGCAGGAGAGGAACTCACTATAGCAGGAGAGGAACTCACTATAGCAGGAGAGGAACCACTATAGCAGGAGAGGAACTCACTATAGCAGGAGAGGAACTCACTATAGCAGGAGAGGAACTCACTATAGCAGGAGAGGAACTCACTATAGCAGGAGAGGAACTCACTATAGCAGGAGAGGAACTCACTATAGCAGGAGAGGAACTCACTATAGCAGGAGAGGAACTCACTATAGCAGGAGAGGAACTCACTATAGCAGGAGAGGAACTCACTATAGCAGGAGAGGAACTCACTATAGCAAGAGAGGAACTCACTATAGCAGGAGAGGAACTCACTATAGCAGGAGAGGAACTCACTATAGCAGGAGAGGAACTCACTATAGCAAGAGAGGAACTCACTATAGCAGGAGAGGAACTCACTATAGCAGGAGAGGAACTCACTATAGCAGGAGAGGAACTCACTATAGCAGGAGAGGAACTCACTATAGCAGGAAAGGAATTCAATACAGCATGTGAAGTACTCCCTACTGTCCAGGAGAGGCATTTACTACAGCCGAAGTACTCGCTACAACAGGGAGAGATAAACTACAGCAGGAGAAGTACTCGCTACAACAGGGAGAGATAAACTACAGCAGGAGAAGTACTCGCTACAACAGGGAGAGATAAGCTACAGCAGGAGAAGTACTCGCTACAACAGGGAGAGATAAGCTACAGCAGGAGAAGTACTCGCTACAACAGGGAGAGATAAGCTACAGCAGGAGAAGTACTCGCTACAACAGGGAGAGATAATCTACAGCAGGAGAAGTACTCGCTACAACAGGGAGAGATAAGCTACAGCAGGAGAAGTACTCGCTACAACAGGGAGAGATAAGCTACAGCAGGAGAAGTACTCGCTACAACAGGGAGAGATAAGCTACAGCAGGAGAAGTACTCGCTACAACAGGGAGAGATAATCTACAGCAGGAGAAGTACCCGCTACAACAGGGAGCGATAATCTACAGCAGGGAAAGTACTCGCTACAACAGGAGAGGTATATACTCACTACAGTCGAGGAGATGGGAGCCGTCAGCGCAGCTAAGGTGCCGGTCACGGGAGAGCAGACAGCGCCGCTCGGCAGGGATGCACTGACCGCTCGTAGCGCAACGGAACGCTCCCGGCACACACCCGGAGATCTCCTTCTCTGTCGAGGAACCAGTATGGCAAGTTATGTCAACATCAGGCCAAATGGAATAAAGTAAATAAAAATAAAGTTATTTTGTGCGTGTGGTAATACTTGGTCTGGTCGATATACAGCGGCCGTTCTCGTTTGTTGCAGGTCGGCGTTCGATCCCCCGATGGTCCGAGTGTATGGGGCACCAGTAATTTTCTTTCGACCTATCCCCAGATACTTGTCTTCATAGCCCGTCCAAGTATTATATTATAATATATTCTTTGCCATTTTTCTTCATTAATATTTTACTTTTTACGTGTGGTCCGGAAGGAGAATTACGAGGAGAAAGCACTAGGCCAGCGGGATTATGTTGCACATGGAAGAGATCAAAGGGAAGGATAGGAGCTGGGATAGAGGGGGTGAAGAGAATGAAGGATTTGGGCTGTCGGGTATCGAACGCAGACTTGTATGAAGCGAGGCTTCATACAAGTATATTCACTGTATATTCGCTACACTACGCAAGGGTTCACATTTGGTCAAGAATGTATAACTTTCAACCAGGACTGATGCAGTAGCATGGGATCAAGCCTGCGTCTGCAGACTCCTCGGGAACACGCACTATCGACATGGATGGAGTTCGATCCCATCTACTGCCTCGAGGATTTATCCATAAATTCATCACGTTTTTGTTATTTCATTGTGAATTTATATTTTTGTAATGTCAACAATATTCGAAGTTTTCTGTCATAATTGTTGATACTTTTTTGACACTAAAATTTTTTCACTAAAATTCCGTTTTATAATAACCAAATCTAAAAGGATTTTTTTTTGTTTTTATTCGTGCTCATAAATGCTTTCACAATTCTGTAAATGCATGTCAATAGAATATTCTAAATTGATGGTATACCCACATGTTGAGCTGTATATCCCCCAAGCTCCCTTCCTCTACAGAAATCTCTATTACAACTATGCTTGTGTCTACGTTTCTTCTAAATTTTCATTTTGTTCAGTGAAATATTTAAATAATTGGTAACATTTTCTTTGTTAGAAGAGCACGTGCATGTATTTTTTATTTTATTTTATAAGGTTTTAGAAGAGAACTTGCTTTTAATGACAAGCAAATTTTGTATTTTTACCATTGTAGTAGAGCCCTTGTATTTTCATGACTTTTTACAAGCTATACGTAAGTATAAACAGTATTTGGAGGTTAGAGTTACTTGTAGTTAAGTCAGACATCAGAATGGTAGCCTCCAACGGCTGAATTCTGATTTCAGGCAGTGGTTTAGTGGCTTCCCGAACCGTTATGGTGATTTCCAGCACCGGTATGGTGGCTTCCAGCACCGTTATGGTGGCTTCCAGCACCGTTATGGTGGTTTCCAGCACCGGTATGGTGATTTCCAGCACCGGTATGGTGGCTTCCAGCACCGTTATGGTGGTTTCCAGCACCGGTATGGTGGCTTCCAGCACCGTTATGGTGGTTTCCAGCACCGGTATGGTGGCTACCAGCACTGTTATGGAGCTTCCAGTACCGGTATGGTGGCTTCCAGCACCGTTATGGTGGCTTCCAGCACCATTATGGTGGCTACCAGCACTGTTATGGAGCTTCCAGTACCGGTATGGTGGCTTCCAGCACCGTTATGGTGGCTTCCAGCACCATTATGGTGGCTACCAGCACTGTTATGGAGCTTCCAGTACCGGTATGGTGGCTTCCAGTACCGGTATGGTGGCTTCCAGTACAGGTATGGTGGCTTCCAGCACCGGTATGGTGGCTTCCAGTACCGGTATGGTGGCTTCCAGTACCGGTATGGTGGCTTCCAGTACCGGTATGGTGGCTTCCAGTACCGGTATGGTGGCTTCCAGTACCGGTATGGTGGCTTCCAGTACAGGTATGGTGGCTTCCAGCACCGGTATGGAGGCTTCCAGCACCAGTATCGTGGCTTCCAGCACCGGTATGGTGGCTTCCAGTACCGGTATGGTGGCTTCCAGTACAGGTATGGTGGCTTCCAGCACCGGTATGGAGGCTTCCAGCACCAGTATCGTGGCTTCCAGCACCGGTATGGTGGCTTCCAGTACCGGTATGGTGACTTCCAGCACCGGTATAGTGACTTCAAGCACCGTTATGATGGCTTCCAGTACCGGTATGGTGGCTTCCAGTACCGGTATGGTGGCTTCCAGTACAGGTATGGTGACTTCCAGCACCAGTATCGTGGCTTCCAGCTGCGGTATGGTGGCCCCAACATTCTCACTAGTGTGAATTCTGCCAGACGAGAAAGTTTTTCTCCCCAGCCACAAAAGTGACAAGCGCTGCAGCTCTCCTCCAGCCGCGAGCTATACACAGTAAACACACGCGTCGAGAGAGAGGAAAAGTGGAGTAGACGCGGCTGGAACACAGGAATAAAAAAGGGGGGAAACGAAATTTACCGGCGGATTCACACTGGAATATCTGTTTTATTTTTTATTTTTTTTGGGGGGAAATACGGTATTTCCTGTTTCATCTGCATTCGTTGTGTGTGTGTGATAGGTATAGACACATACATATATATATACACACACACACGGGGATACACCTGTATACATATATACACAGACTCGCAATATTGTTTGTCACTTACCAGAGAAGATTTCGTCGGACTTATCAGGACAGTCTGGGATGTGGTCGCGCCAGTAGCTCTGTGGGAGGCACTGACCCGTGTGGCACTTGACCTGTCCTGGCCCACATGGGTGATCACCTGCCAGGGAAGAGGTCAAGGAAGGTTATTTGCGAGTTACGCGGTGACCTGATCTGACCTGCAGTGATAATCACCTCTCAAGCAGAAGATCAAGGAAGATTACAAGTTATCACCTGACCTGAGATGAGCCACACTGATGGTCACCTGCCACGGAGAAGGTCGAGGAAAACATTACAGGTTATCACGCAACCTGATATAGCCTGTAGTGATGATCACTGGCCAGAGAGGAGGTCAAGAATGGTGACTGAAGTCTACCACACGACCCCAACCAACATTAATGACCAGGGAGAAGGACAAGAAAGGGCAATACAGTCAAGTGTGTGTGTGTGAGAGGTTCAGTATGAGGAAAGCCAGATAAATGTGCTTTTGGGAGTCTAGAGGTAAGGGAAATTATTAAAATGAAGCGTTAAGCCAGTATGACTATACAGCACATGTATGAAGTATAATGTGTGAGGAAATCAGAAATGGAGAGTATAAGGAGTAAGAGGATTGGTATGAGAGAGGCAGGAATGGGGAGTTTGGAATGAGTTGAATTTGTGAGAATCAACATGAGAGAGCTGGGACTGAGGAGTAATTAAAGTATTTTTAAGCACTATTGATTCTCATACAAATTTATGAGGAGAAAGCGTTAAGCCAGTATGACTATATGGCACTTGGAAGGAATATGAGGATAAGAAGCTGGGATTTAAGAACAGGGTGAAGGAAGAGTGCCCATCAACCATCGGGGATCACAGAAGGAGAATATTACCAATGAGTCACGAATATTTACACTCTCCTGAAAATAGGGGAAATTTTGTTTTTCTGCGGCTCTTTTACACTAATGGAACTAATCAAGAGAGAGAGGTCTCAGATCTCTGTCAATCAACTGCGCCAAAAGCTATTTCGTCTGTTGGTTCTTATTATCCGAGTCAGGAGATGTGTCGGGGCGGGGGCAGTATAGAGCCGGGTTTACCTCGTGTTTGCTCTGTGTGAGGCACCGCCGGGCAGGAGAAATGCACTTCTAGCAAGAGCAGCATTGTTGGCGAATTCTTTAAGTGAAAAACTTTACTTTATTCTCCATACATTCTCGTGTGTATGTGTGTGTACTCACCTAGTTGTGCTTGCCGGGATTGAGCTCTGGCTCTTTGGTCCCGCCTCTCAACTGTCAATCAACTGGTGTACAGATTCCTGAGCCTACTGGGCTCTATCATATCTACAGTTGAAACCGTGTATGGAGTCTGCCTCCACCACATCACTGCCTAATGCATTCCACCTGTTAATTAACTACTCTGACACTGAAAAAGTTCTTTCTAATGTATCTGTGCCTCATTTGGGTACTAAGTTTCCACCTGTGTCCCCTTGTTCGTATTCCACCCGTGCTAAAGAGTTTATCTTTGTACACCCTGTCAATTCCCCTGAGAATTTTGTCGGTGGTTATCATGTCTCCCCTTACTCCTCTGTTTTCCAGGGACGCGAGGTTCAGTTCCCTTAGCCTTTCCTCTTAGCTCATACCTCTTTGTTCAGGGACAAGTCTGGTGGCATACCGCTGAATCTTCTCTAACTTTGTCTTGTGTTTAACTAGGTATGGACTCCAAGCTGGAGCTGCATATTCCAGGATTGGTCTGACATAAGTGGTATGAAGGGTCCTGAACGATTCCTTACACACATTTCTAAATGCAGTTTTTATGTTAGCCAACCTAGCATATGCCGCTGAAGACATCCTTTTGATGTGGGCTTCTGGGGCCAGGTTCGGTATGATATCAACCCCCAGATCTTTCTCTCTATTTGACTCTTGCAGGATTTCACCTCCCAGATGGTATCTTCTGTTCAGCTTTCTGCTCCCATCGCAAATTTCCATACTTTACACTTTCATGAGTTGAACTTTAGCAGCCAGTTTCTAGACCATTCCTTCAGTTTGCCCAGGTCATCCTGTAGTCTCTGTCTATCTCTGTCTTGATTCTTCCCATAATTTTTGCATCATCAGCAAACATTAATAGGAATGAGTCTATACCCTCTGGAAGATCATTTACATAAACTAGAAACCGGATAGATCTAAGTACAGAACCCCGTGGGACTCCGCTGGTGACATCTCGCCACTCTGATGTCTCCCTCCTCACAGTTACTCGCTGTTTCCTGTTGGTTAGATACTCCCTTATCCATGGGAGCACCATACCTTTTACTCCTGCCTGTTGCTCCAACTTTTGTAACAGCCTTTTATGGGATACTGTGCAGAAGGCTCTCTGACAATCCAAGAAAATGCAGTCTGCCCACCCTTCTCTTTCTTGCCTAATTTTTGTTGCTTGGTCATATAATTTTATTAAACCTGTGAGGCACAATTTACCATCTCTGTACCCATGCTGGTGGTGTGTTACAAAGCTATTTCCCTCCAAATGCTCTACGAGCATTTTCCTCACGATCTTCTCCGTCACCTTGCATGGTATACAAATTAGGGAAACTGGCCTGTTGTTCAGGGCCTCTTGCCTGTCACCCTTTTTGTATATTGGGACCACATTAGCTGTCTTCCAACTTTCCGGGAGTTCTTTCCTGTGTAGCACAAGATCGTGATGTACGTGTTGCGTGTACACGTAGGAGTGTGTAGCACCTCGCTGATGTCCAGGGTTCTGTTGTCAATATACCTGTCGAATATTTCAGTACACTGAATTAACAGGATGTCCCATTTTCTATTCTTGGGTGCTCGGTTAGGTTAGGTGTGGGCAATTCCGTTCAATAGTTTAAAGGACGAGCTGGTCTGTTGGCGTGTGGTCGTGGAGCTTGGGCAGGAGTGGTGGGTGTATTCATATTCAGCAGTAGCCCCAAAATCACTTATCCTAAGTGTTTTATGGGGATACTGCCCAATTATGCATATTAGCCATTTTCTATTAATTTTCCTCATCATCAGGGAATAATGTTGTATATAATTATTATAAGAAACATATTTTATTGGATTTTTTGGTTTTCAAAATATTTACAGGGTTAGCCGGGAGCCAGTTGCAAAAATCATCGTGGGGGTCAGAATATGACCCCCTGGCATACTGTTCTTTTTTTTAATTCAGGTGACAACAAACAGCCTGTGGGCGTCCCGTACCCCAGCCCATTCCTCTCTCTCCTCTCTGTAAATTCTGTTTTACGCTATTCCCGAGGATCTAGTTTCCATCTTTGTTTGATCCTGACATCCATGCAATTATTCTCTTTTTCTCTCTCCCCCTCTCTCTCTCTCTCTCTCTCTCTCTGTCTCTCTCTCTCTCTCTCTCTCTCTCTCTCTCTCTCTCTCTCTCTCTCTCTCTCTCTCTCTCTCTCTCTCTCTCTCTCTATCTCTCTCTCTCTCTCCTCTCTCTCTCTCACTCTCTCTCTCTCTCTCTCTCTCTCTCTCTCTCTCTCTCTCTCTCTATATATATATATATATAAATATATATATGAACCGCTATTATTTTCATATATGATTTCTTATATAAATAACCAATATCCCGAATTTGTTCGTGAATTTAGCTGTTTCGAACATGTTTTTCACTAGAGAATGGCACGTATATTTATTTGACAGGAATGTTGTTGGATTTCCAGATGAAATATTTGCAATAAAGGTCTCGCACGTACATCCCGATTATATGGAGGACATGATATAGTTCAACAGCACGGCAACATATATATATATATATGTGTGTATATCACGAAAATAAACACGTGATTAAGAATGTGACAATGTCAGACCACGAAGGAAAATGAAACAGGAAATTTCCTTAAGTACTTTCGTATATTAAATACATCTTCAGAAGGTGATGTTTTTGAAGGTGAAGGTGACCTTCTGAAGATGTATTTAATATACGAAAGTACTTAAGGAAATTTCCTGTTTCATTTTCCTTCGTGGTCTGACATTGTCATATATATATATATATATATATATATATATATATATATATATATATATATATATATATATATATATATATATATATATATATATCGTGGTCTGACATTGTCATATATTATATATATATATATATATATATATATATATATATATATATATATATATATATATATATATATATATATATATATATATATATATATATTATATATATATATATATATATATATATATATGTTGTACCTAGTAGCCAGAACGCAGTTCTTGGCCTACTATGGAAGGGCCGATATGCCTATTAAACAAAGTTTTCCTGAATTTATATATTTTCTAACTTTTTTTCTTATGAAATGATAAATCTGTCCATTTCATTAGGTTTAAATAAATTTTTTGTTTAAATTTGATTTAAAACTAACGTAGAAATATGACCGAACCTAACCAACCCTATCTAACCTAATCTGTCCTATCTTAACCTAACCTAAACTTTCACAACTAAGTCAATAATTTATGTTCCCAATATAATATAATAATAATAATTCAAATAAAATAATTGGAAACAATTTATTGAAAATAAAGAAAATCACTCGGCCAATTAGGCAAATCGAGAGTTGCATAGTAGGCTGAGAAGTGCATTCTGGCTACTAGGTACGACATGGAGAAATGGAGAGTGGAGAAATGTTTGATTAAATAACTCATGAAACTTCAACTTTATATGAAAGTATACTCTTTTGATTGCTGTTGCAATATTGCGAATATTTTGTTCTTCTTTGTTTCTCTTCGTTCTCTGGTTCTACTTCGTCCAGTACGGAGAAGTAGAACCATGTTCTCTTGTCATGTTCTCTAAGTCCCTTGGTTATTCTTGTCATGTTCTCAAAATACACTGGTTCAATTTGGCATGTTCTCCAGTTTTCATGCTAAAATCCACTTGTCATGTTCACTAGGTTACTTCGTTTTTCTTGTCATGTTCTCTATGCTCCTTGGTTCTTCTTGTCATTTTCTCTCTTCAAATCACTTTCCCTCTGTGCTCTCTGCAGGTCATCATCTTACCACCGGATCCCCAGCCTCGCCTACTGGCTTTAAGAGTTTGGAAACGATTGAATAATACAAACACAGGGAAAGTTTTATCAAAACTCTAGCGATTTACAAACAAAAAACTTTG